TGTTAAATATTGAAAAGCATTCATAATAACAAATTTGGCATCAGCTGGTTGAGTTCTTCAATCCATTGAAAAAGAAAGTAACTAAATGTGCTAGTGGGGATTTTTAAAAAAATGTTCAGCAAGAAGGTGACAATAGTGTTGATTTTAGGAAGTTTTAAACAGACTAAAGGTTAGTTGGATTTGAATTAAAGAAGAACTTTGATGTTAATTAAAAGGATGCTTTCTTGTGGGAAAATTTGTTTTGTTCATATTTAAGCTGAAAATATGACTCTGAAGGTTCAATATTCAAGGGTACCAGATGGTATCCCTAAAAGAATTGTTTGATATTTGGGTATAAGAGATGTTCAAGTTATTTAACTCTGTAATAGAATAAAATCTGCTATTGAAAAGGAAGATTCACTGAATAAAACTGAAGTGATTTTAAGGATTTAAGAATTATAACCCATAAGAAAGAGATGGAAATAATGGATCTACAAATGTAATTTGCACAGAAAATTTGCACAGAAAAAAAAAGCACAGAAGGGATTTGCTGGAGTTAATATATTGGAACTACAGAAAGATGATAAGAATTTTGAAAGAAGAGATAAAGAAACTATGAGAAACAGATGTTAGAGCTTCTTTTGTAGGATTTTTGTGGGAAAAAGAAGAAAAATACAACAGTGATTTATTTGATCATGGTTAAAATAATGGACTTATTTCTGGTGATGTCTTTTTTTTACAGATTGGATTATGATTGTTATTTATGATAATGTTTACTTGTGGGTATTGGATATCATTTGTAATACTTATATTATTTTTTTCAGATAAATAATGGGTTGCTATTTCTGGTGATATTTAATGGTTTCTTTTGATTGGGACTGGATGATGAATTGGGCTTTGATTATTTAAAGAGAAGGATTAGGAGGAATTTATTGAAATGGAAGTGGAGATATAAATACTTAAGGTGTTATTTTTGATAACCTTTACTGGGCTTCTACTGATAAATAAGAAAACATGAAGATTTAGAGATATGCTTATAGAAAATTGGCTGAGCTATGGAATACAGAAATGTTTGATTGTATTTTAAAAGACATGATAATTTGTGATGTGCAATACTTGCTGGGGATGAGAGGAAAATTTCTTTTTCTATTTTTTTCTTTTTCTTAGATATTTTTTATGTCACCCTTGTTGTTTTTATAAATAACTCAAACTGACAAACATACTTAATACTCCTTCCTCCTCCTATTTCCCCCACAATGCAATCCACCTTATAAGCAATAGTGTCCTCTTCACAGATGATGTAAAACTATTCAACACTACCAACAATGCTACTGTCCTTCAAAACGACCTTGATTATGTGTCTGAATGATCAAACATTTGGCAACTCCAAATCTCAACCAACAAATGCTCTGTTCTACACATTGGTAAAAAAAAAAAATCAGTACACCAAATACAAGCTAGGCAGATATGACCTCATTGACAACCCTGACTCTGTCAAGAACCTTGGAGTACTCACATCAAACAACCTAAGCGCCAGAGCTCCCTGTAACAGCATCGTCAAAAAGGCATTAAAAGTTGTAGTTGTAAATCTAATCTTACGAAGCTTCTCCTCCGGTAATATTGAATTGCTAACTAGGGCATACAAAATCTTTGCTAGACCAATACTCGAATACAACCCATCTGTCTGGAATCTGCACTGTATATCAGACATTAATACAATTGAGTGAGTCCAGAAGTATTTCACAAGAAGAGTACTACACTCCTCTGCTCGCAACAGAATACCCCAGTGGTGACTAACCTTTTGGGGCTCCTGTGCCAAAAATTTTGCATGTGCTTGTACGCTCACACTCGCATGCCGGCACCCAGAAGCCAATGCGCGCTCCCACAACCCCTACGCATGCATGTGCAATCCCCACCCACCCCGCTGACCCCTTACCTGCACTGCGCCTCAAAGCTGATTTTTGGCTGGTTTGAGGCCTTTTTCGACCTCCCAGAGGCTTGAGGAAGGCTTCTGCAGGCTTTGCAAGCTGAAAACTAGACCCGTTTTGTCACTTCCGGTATTTTCAGAAAAATAGGAAGTGACACATATGCGCATGCACTTGCCAGGCACTCACATGGCCTAATGGCCACCAGACCATAGCTCAGTAGTGAGGCATGGCCCACAGGTTGAGGACCCCTGAGTTAGAGGCATCCTGTCATTAAATGTACTGCTTCATTGATGGCAATGTCAACTTGTCTTGCATGTGCAGATGCATCCCACACTGGAGCAGCATTGAAGGAAAAACCAAAAGACCCCCTCCCTTAAAACTGTAATATCCATAGAGCAGTGATGGCTAACCTTTCTGTCCTCACGTGCCAAAAGTGTGTGCATGCATGCCAGCACCCATAAGGCAATGCACACAGTAGGCCCCATGCCCCCTGCACATGCACACATGACCCCCTGCACATGTTCCATGCATCTCTATGCATGCGTGTGCGACCACCCCACATGTGCCACGTGTTTCTGCACTTCCAGCACGCATGCCATAGGTTCACCATCAACTCCATCAATCAATCAAGAGGCAGCAGCGCAGCCAACCAGCCACCAGCCCCCACCACCAGTATTTATAGAGAGACAGCAGCTCCGATCACACACTGCTTGCACTGGCACGAAGCCGAAAGCACCAGCCTGAGGATGGCGAGTGGGACCTCGCCAAAACGTCACCAAGATATTCTTCATCTTATATGGGAAAAGACCCGAACACACCTAGACCTACACACACACACACATATACCTATATACCTATATACCTATATGCCTATATGCCTATATACCTATATACCTATATACCTATATACATATATACATATATATGCAGGTCTTGGCGTGTTCAGGTCTTTTCCCATGTAAGATTGAGAGCATCTTGGCAACGTTTCGACAAGGTCCCACTCGCCATCTTCAGGCTGGTGCTTTCGGTTTCTTGCTTATGCGAGCAAAGCGTGATCAGAGCTGCCGTCTCCCTATATGTACTGCTGGAGAGGTTGGCTGTGTTGTAATTTCTTGATTGGTTGATGGAGTTGATGTTTGCAGATTGGCTGGCTTCCTAGGACACACCATCCACCGGAAGAAAACACACACCAACCGCTACTTAAATGCACAATCCCATCACCACCCTGCACAGATCAACTCCATAGCCAAGACCCTCATCTCCAGAACCAAACGCCTAGCCAACAAAGACCACCTGAGAACAGAATTACACACCCTCACAAATGTATGAATTTCCAGTGGATTCCAAAGAAGCACAATTACCAACCTAATCCTAAGGGAGACACCACCCAGAAACCGAGACACAGAACAGGATAGCGGTATCGCCCTCCTCCACTACATCAAAGGCACCACAGATAAAATCAGCAAAATTCTTCACAAACACAATATCAGGACAGCCTTCGGCACTGACCAAAAAATAACCAACATCCTAAGAAACCCCAAAGACAAGATCCAGCTAGAAAACCAAGGAGTTTATGAAATACCATGCAACAATTGCCCAGCCACATACATTGGACAAACCAACAGGGGAATAAATGCACGCATCGCAGAACACAGCCACGCAGTCAGAAAAGAAGAAAATACTTCTTCCCTTTTCCAGCACCTTAAAGTCACAGGACATGAAATTAATTTTGAGGGAACCAAATTAATCTCCAATACTGAACACTTCAACAAGAAAATAATCAGGGAAGCCATTGAAATAGAGAAACACCCCCATAACATGAATAAACGGGATGATGCCTCCCACCTACCAGACATCTGGAAACTAGCCCTTATCAACAAACGAGTCCCAGCCACGAAAACCAACACCGGACCCAAAACAACACATGACACCACCACCATTCTCCCTCACCACACTCAAACCCAAACCCATCCCATAGATGAAAGACAACCACCGTCCAGAAACCAGACCACAGCTGCATCACCAGCTGCCACACACCCCGACTCCCAAACCAAGCAAATGGACACACGCCATGAACCAGACCTCAAACTCGGAGCCAAACCAAAACCTGGAACGTCACATCACAGACACCCACTCAGGATATCACATCACAGAACTCAAGAGGTTATACCACAAAACCTCAGGATGTTGCCACACAGCCAACAACCCAGGAGATTACAGCACAAGACCCAGGATGTCACAACAATAGAAGTCAGAAGGTCATCACACAGCCCATGACCCAGGTCATTACAACCCAGGAGGCTGATAGACACACAGCCAATACCTCAGCCACATGTTCTTAAGAAAAAGCCAGCCAATCTGCAATCATCAACTCCATCAACCAATCAAGAAATGACAACACAGCCAACCTCCCCACCGGTATATATAGGGAGACGGCAGCTCCGATCACGCTTTGCTCGCATAAGCACGAAGCTGAAAGCACCAGTTTGAGTGGGACCTCGTCGAAACATCACCAAGATACTCTCAATCTTGCACGGGAAAAGACTCGAACACG